GACTCTTAAAAAAAAAAAAAAAAAAAGGCAGTAACTTAAGTCATAAATTATGGCCAAGTACAGTATTTTCAGGGAATAAACCCAATACCCAATAGTTAAACCCTGCAAACAATGCATCAATTTTGTAACAAGTAAGTACAAAGTCAACTTATTAAAAGAAGTCTGTATACATTGATATTGGGGTCCTAGTGTGGCGCTGTGGATTAACGCACAGGATTGCAAAGCCGGTTTGAATCACAAGGCTGTTGGTTCAAGCTCACCAGTCACTCCTCGGAAACCATACACAGGGTTGCTACAGGTCAGAACCAACTCGATGGCACTTAACAACAATATATTGATATTAATTAAGACACACAGAAATGAGGGAAGCAGAAACATATCAAGAATAGATTTTTCATGTTAATGTTGTATGTTAACTTGGTCATATGTTAGACATTGTTGCAATTGTAAGTTGTGTAATGTATCATGTAATAACTACTAATAACTCACCAAGAAGAAACATTCAGGAGAAAAAGGAAGATTGTAAAAAGGCACATCACAAGAAAACAAGCAAATACAAACAAAATTGGAAAAATCAGAATAAAAAAACCAACATCTAGCCTACCTAACACACAGAGGCAGACACATTACAAAAGAACAGATTGGCGATGTCATTTAAAAAAAAAAAAAAAGGTATTTAAAAAAGCCCAGGACTAGATAGCTACACTGAAGAATTCTACCAAACATTCAGAAAAAAGCTGGTTATCAATTCTAGCCAGCATAACTCCAAAGCCTAAACCAGAAAAAAGCATAGGAAAAAACATTACAGACCAATCCTCTATGAGGAGTCCTGGTGTGGTGCTGTAGGATAAGGTCGGTTTGAACTGTAAGGTTGGTGGTTCAAACTCACCAGCTGCTCCACAGAAACACCATGCATGATCAAGTGGGATTCATACCAGTATTACAAGGGTGGTTTGACATTGAAAATCAATCAGTGTAATCCACCACATAAATAGAGTAAAGGAAAAGAACCATATGATCATATTACTAGATGCACAAAAAGCTTTCAGTAAAAATTCAATACTTTTTCCTCACTATCACACTCAGAAAACTAGGTGGGTAGAATGGGAACATGAACCATAGGGAGGAAGCCGACTATTGTTCCATGGAGGGGATTGTAATCATTGAGATGAAACGAACTGTATGATTTGTTGAATGTAAAACTGATGATCTTGTCTGTAAACCTTCACTCAATTCACCAAGTTTTCTTTTTGTTTTCTTTTTTTAAATTCTGTTTGCACACAAACAACAGACGACTCAGAAAACCCCATCAGGTCACAAGTACTTTAATAGTCTAAAAATCAATGTAGTTCTATTGTCACAAGATTTTGGATAATTTCATAGTATCAGTATTTTGAATAATTTTATAGTAAAAGAAGAAACACAAAGGAAAATAATTTCCCTGCACAGTGAAATTCTCATACACTATATGGAAGTTCCCCACATCGGCCCAGTTCTGGCTCAGAACAATAGATAATACATTTTAATCATATTTTTTGTCTATTACTTTGAAAAGTTACTTCAAATAGTAACTAGAAAGTTAGGACTTATTTCTCACACAAAGATTAAGTACAAAGAATGTGGCTTCCCTGTTTTAACAAGTACTTTAAGGACAGACGTGGGGTGGGCGAGGGTCAGAACACATCTCCTCAGGGTTCCAGCAGCTAGCTCTCTCTTGGCTGTCATGCTCACAGGTGTGGGAAAGGCACACGAAAACAGCCATGGGAGGTTCACAAGTTTCATATGATTCTCTCAAATCCTAGCGTTGGTATTTTTCATTTTGGAAGTGTGACTCCAATAAAGGCTCTTGAAGGTGATCAGAACTCCTAGAATGCCCCCATTGACCGTCCAGGACTCTGCGGAAAGGTTTCCACTGGGGTGCTCACCCCATGGCAAGATGCAGATCCTACTGCTGGTAGCCCACAGTGACTTGCAGAAGACGGTGTCATTTGGTGTTGAGAGAGGAACAAATCATTTTTCACCCAACAATAGATGGAGGAAGAACACAGGCGTGAGACAGATAGAATCCCAATAAAGCAGGCCAAACCGGGTAACTGCCTTTGCTCAGGCCACCAAGATGGTTTTTGAATGACCCAAGTTAGGAGGGGAGGGAGGTTGAGGGACACAAACCAGGAGATATTGAAAAAAAAAAAAAAAAAAAGCTAAACAGCAAACATGAGGCAAGGGAGAAGGTTGGCTTTGAAGTAGAGTCAGGCCATAGTCCTCCTCAATGGCCAGGAAACTCAAGAAGTTCTATTTGCTCTAACTTTTAAAGCAAACTTAGTTTTTAATAAGCTTAATAAACACCAGGTCCTTGTACTTTCATTCTACAATCCCATCACAGTTCCCTTTGCTTAATAATTTATAGGCGGTGTAAATAATAGGTAGGCAAACATCTTTTCGTGACTTTTGTTGCAAGGCCCTGAAGAGTGGCATGTTCATGAGCAAGGAATCCCACCCACCCAGTGCCTTCTCCAGGGAGGCTGACAAGGAGAGAAGGTGGACCCCAGGATTTCCAGGTTGCCTAGGAGCCCTCTCCTTATACTCATTCAACACTCTAAAACGGCATGTTGGCAGAGATATCTGAACCACCTCCATCAAGGCCACTTCATTCATTTAATAAATTTAATCATTGATTTTTTTAAAAACATATTACTCAACTGGCAAGCGAATCCTTGTTACTTCTGACCATGTGGTTCCAAGGCAGTTTTCTTCACTTGGCTTAATTTGAAAGTAGAGCAAAGGTCTGTCAGTAGGGTCAGAAACATTTCTAGGTTGGCAGAGACAGGCTAAAACTCAGGCCTGTCTTCATTTAGCCTCAAGCCCTCACTGTTAAAAGCAAGGAAAGAGAAGGGCAAGCCTCCAGGGTTCACAAACCTGAGACTGTGAAAAAGAACCAATAAAAGCTATACAGCCCAGGCTAACAAGACATCTAGTCCAAACAATTCCACAGAATGAATTTAATCAAAATGGAAACGACAGCCCTTGGTACCAATTCTGTGCTTCCTACAAGTAACTGCTACTGGAAGAGTCCAAGCCTGACCTAGAATGGCACCTGGGTGTAGGTCACAGGACTGTGAGTGTGCCCTTCGGTGGCCCAGTCCTCTCACTGAGGAGGTGAGGTGTGGTGAGGTGGCGGAGGGCAGCTTCAAGCCACCAGGCTCCCCAGCTGGCTGGCTGGTAGGGCTGAAATGGGCCCTCTCGGGCTTTTCTTGCTGCTCCTTCTGACAGAATCACCATGCCATACTGACCTTGGCTTCAGGAGTGTGACTTGCAGGGCACATTTTGTCTCTTCAGTGCTAAGGTGGCCTGAAATCTTGCCAGTGTATGGCCCTCCCCTTAGCCCTTGCTATCCTAAAGATGAACTGCAGAAGGCAGAAGCACGACCTTAAAAAAGGAACCAGAGTCTGGCCTGAGTGAAGCCAGCAATTCCTAACACGCCAAAGAAGGAACAGGTATCTAAGGTCCAAGTCCTGGCTGAATTCTTAATCTGTGATTAGGTGAAGATCAATCTTGTCTATGAGGTATTTCCTTTGTGTGTATAAAGAATGAAAGTGGATGGAAACTTCAAAAACAAAACCAAAAGAGCTTCAAAAAAGATAAAAGCAGTGTACCTTATACTGGTTTCTTCACACATAATGCCTATGCCAAGAATCGGGCAAGAGAGAAACCTGTGAAAGAAAATAATAATTTATCCCGAGGCACTGCCTACCCAGCTGGTTTAGAAATTTCATACACAAACACTGTCCTTGTTTATAAGAGTTTATCTCTCAGTATGTGGGCAGGACTTTCCCAAAAGGCCATCATTAAATAAACTAAAACTGCCATAAGAGATGTCCCCACAAGGGATCCTGAGGCACGCCTGTGTAGAAGCGGCTCCAAAGTCACAGACTCTAGAGAGCTCTAGAGGAAAATAACAAACATAAGTAGGCGAAAGAGGCCCGGTGCCTGCACCAAGCTCTTCTTTCAGAACAAGCTTTGTTGGAACAGGACAAATCTACCATGGCCCAGCAGCCTTGCAGGAAGCAGATTCGCAAGGGCACACAATGCAGCCAGGCCATAGGGATGAAATCCTGCTCACTTATTTTAAAACAAGGCCCTGGTTTACTAAATCTATTCTTCCTACGATACAGATCACATGCTAGAGTGTCCCTCCTGCTGTAAGGCAACTCAGATTGGTAGCCATTCAACTCAAGAACTGGAGTTCTCGCTAGAAGGAAGTATGTGTGTATGTATGTGATGGTCCCTGGAAGGTACAAATGGTTTGCACTCGGCTACTAACCAGAAAGTTGGAGGTTTGAGTCCACCCAGAGATGCCTCCCAAAAAAACAAAACAAAAACTCAGCCCTGGAAACCCCTACAAAGCACAGTTTTACTCTGACACACATGGGGTTGTGTGAGTAAGAGAACCAACTCGATAGCAATGTATTTTTTTTGTATATGTGTGTGGAGGGGTAGTTATTGTTGGTAAATGCCATTGAGGTGATTCTGATTCATAGTGACCCTGTTTAGGGTTTCTGAGGAGCAGCTGGTGGGTTTGAACTGCCAACCTTTTGGTTAACAGTCCAGTGTATTTTCCTAAGGAGGGGACTGTATCAATAGCTGAACTCTGTCTTCGGGTGAACTGCCCCTCTGGAGCACAAACAGTTCCCAGAAAGGACAGGAGGATTCATTTGGTTTCAATGATGTGATCTTGCTGTCCCATGCTGGGCATTTGGCAATCTGATGATGGCGTGGCACGGCAGCAGAGAAAGGCACTTGGAAGACACCAGACTGGTTGTGTTCCGCCTTCCTGGCTCAATGAAAGGTACCCCACACATCCGTGTGGGAACTTGCCCGCTCATCCTTCTTCCCCCTTCATCTCAACCCCACCACGGGGGTCACTGGAAATTAACTGGCAGATTTCTCCATGTGAAGGCCTGGCGTGGCATCCCTGCTATGATGTTTGTGCAAGGCCCCGGTTAGAAGTGGTGCTGGTGAAGGGCAGCTGGCGAGGGGCCTTTCTCTAGCCTTTTAACATGGCAGGAGTGACAGAAGAGGTGGTCCTCCAGTGGGTAGCAGCGGTGGCCATCTTCATCATTGAGTTCCAACCCGCAGTCCTGGTGGTGAGACAAAGACACCCAGGGTGAACAAAACACAACACACGCACAACATACATTGTAGGAGTCAAAGGCCACAGTCCCAAATGGAGCAGGGCCTGCTACATTTCTGCATGTCGTTGTTCGGTCCCGTTGAGTTGGTTTTCAACTCACAGTGACCGTAAGAGACAGGGTAGAACTGCCCCATGGAATTTTCTAATCTTTACAGGAGCAGATTGCCAGTCATGGAGTGAGCTTAAACCACCAACCTTTTGGTTAACAGCTAAGAAATTAAACATTGCACCACAGGGCTCCTGCCTGGGCCTGCAGAAACACAGCGTTCCCACCCTGCAAAGGAGCTGTGAGCCACACGGTACCCGCTGAGCACTCGGAATGGGACCAAACGGAGATAGCTGATGGTGTAGAACACACAGGATTTCAGAGATGAGGGCAAAAAAGACAGAAAGTATCTCTTAGGTAATTTTTTAATATTGGTTACAATTTGAAATGATATTATTTAGGATATAGTAGATGAAATAAAATATCATCATAATAATTAATTACATTTGTTTCTTATTACTTTTTTTTTTAACATGGCTACAAGAAAACTTAAGAGTCCTGGTGTGGTGGTCTAGGATAAGCATCAGACTGCTAACCACAAGGTTGGCGGTTCATACCCATCAGCGGCTCCTTGGAAACCCTATACACAGTTGCTATGAACTGGAACTGACATGACAGCACTAGACAACAACAACAACAACACTAGAAAACTTACGTTGCACTTGTGGCTTGAATTTGTGACTCGTGTTTCCACTGGACAGTACTGGTGTGGAATGGGTGGGCAGGAGCAAATGCTGACATTTGTTTCTCCAGACGGTGATCCCCACCCGCTTCTTCAGCATCAGCAGTGGGAGCAGGTTATGTGTCACCTGCACCCCATTCTCTCCACCCCTCCAAACTCCTCCAAACTCCCCCAAACCCACGACTCAGTGACTATAGGACAGAGCAGAACCGCTCTTTAGGGTTTCTGGGCAGACTGCCTCAGGTTCCTTCCTTGGAACAGCTGGTAGGTTTGGTATCAGCCCAATGCTTAACCTACTGTGCCACCAGGGCACCTTCTCCTAACCACTGAGTCAAAATCAATCTACTCTCTTTCCATGGGCAAATCCACTTTATTCTGGCTGAACTGCTAAAGGTACTTTAAGTGTTTACACCTGTCACAAGGGAAGGGGAGGGGTGACCCCTGGCTTTCCCTACAGGTGCAACCCAAGGACAACCAAGGCACAGGTGTCCCCTCCCTGCTCCCCCAGCTGACATGCCTGTTTTCAAGGGTGTTTCTTCATGATTTCCAGAGCTCAACTGAGAAGGGGGTTCTGGCAGACAGAATAGCCTACAAGCTGGAGGGAAGGTAGCCTCTTGGTGAAACCATGAAGTCTGCCTGACAATCTTAGGCCCACACAAGCAACTGCGGCCTCAGAGCTGCCAGCGCTGCATGTGCAGAAGGAGGTACAGCAGATGCCGCTGGGACCAAAACATCTGCATCCTCTGCGGCCCCTCCCATCAGCTCTGGAGGGAACACAATCCCCAGTATTGGGGGTCAGCTCACACCACGGCCACCCTGAAAGGCTTCTTCTCTTGGGCCTACCTCACAGTGGTAGCACTCCACGTGGTAGTCTCTGTCCATGGACACAACACGGATGGTCTCATCAGAACCCTGGTACCGAAGACAAGCAATGACACCAAGAAGAGGCAGTTAGGGGCAGATCCCCCGGGGGCTCCCCATGCAAAGGGGAGGGAAGGGAGGAGGATTCTGAGGTGGTAAGTAGGCGCCTCAGAATACGAGAATCCATTAAAAGTAGGAAAAAACACGTGTTGGTGATGAGAGGATGGGGACACACTGCAGCCCAACCATTTGGACTGTCAGTCCATCGGAAACACAAAAGCTGCGTGGGCTCATCTTCTAGCCTAAGAATTAGTTCCAATAAGATGGGTTCAACTTATTATAGAGACAAATGGTGGATGAGGAAGGCATTGGGCCAATCAGAGGGGCCAGTTTATCTCCAAGTTAAGATTTTGTGAGGAGTGTTTAACAGGTGTAAGGGCAGGAGACCGATCCCATAAATGACCTCACTGAGGTTTACTGGTAATGGCGACTCCAGGCGCAGGTTTGAAGAAGCATCTTACCTCTGGTGGAAGGATAGGAAGACCACAGGCTGCACACTTAGGGGCAAGTACCCTGTGGGAAGAAGCAAAGAAGCTGTAAAATACATATTGTGGGGGTTTGGGCTGGTAAGACTTATACCTGGAGCCTTCTTCTCCCCACCCACCTCTTCTCCCACGTTCCCCCAGCCTCGGAGAGAGGTTGGCGGCTCACTTCCCTGGGATATGCTTCAGAATCAGGCCCCAGCTGAAACAAGAATATCTAACTAAACAAGTCCATCTAACTCTACTAAGGGGAGCGACCAAGCCAACATGGTGCCTGAGCCTCCTAACGGGAGCTAAAGCGGGAGCCCCAGAGCTCGTAGAGACCTCGTAAGGCTTACTGAGCTGTGGCTGCTCTGCTTTTTCTCTGAACAGGATTTCTGAACCAGTTCCTGTCTGTCCTGTCATTGACTGTCGTCTGAGGACCCTCAGCACGTTGGAGCCCTCGCTGGTCTGCGGTCTGTGGGTGCAGGACACCTGCACACACACTACTATCATCTCCAGGTCTAGCCCGCCCCTCCTTACGTGTGGTAATCTCGGACACAGTAGATCTTGTTCTCCGAGTCCACGGTGAAGGGCACCCCGTCCAAACACTCATTGCAGATGACACAGCGGAAACAGCCGGGGTGGTAGGACTTCCCCAGGGCCTGCAGGATCTGGGGGTGGACAGGCCATAAGCGTGAGACTCAGTAAGGCTTACAGGGAAGGCATGGATGGAGGAAGGGAGAGAAGCCCCCATCACACAGCACAGCAGACACTCAGGGTGCACGTCAGTGAGCGGAGGCCAGAGAAGAAGGGGCAGGAAAGGCTAACTGTTCAGATGTCTACACGGTAAGAGATCCAACAGGAAGCCTCCTGCACTCGACAAACTTCTCACAGGGCTTCTAGTGCCAAAGAGAATGGCACAGATGGTTAAACCATGGGGTACTAACCTAAAAGTGGGTGGTTTGAACCCACCCACAGGCACTGGGGAGAAAAGGTCTGGTGATCGTCTCCTAAAAGGTCCCAGCCACTGAACCTCCAAAGAGCAGTTCCACACCACCTACGGGGTCCCCATGAGTCAGAATTGACTAGATGACAACAGGTTTGATTTTGGTTTTTTGATTTTGTTAGTGTTACGGATTTTACTGTGCTCACCGCCCCACAAAAGGTAGGTTGCATAGCATTTTCTTTTGCTAAGTAAATGACATCATACAAAATAGGGTGGGTCCTAAACCTAATCCCTTCTGAGTTAGACAGAGAGAGCGGCACACACACAGGGAAGACGCTGTGTGAAGATGGAGGCAGATGAAGCTACTAGCCCAGGGAAACCAAGTATTGCCCTAGTGGCACAATGGTTAAGCACTTCACTGCCAATGGAAAGATTGGCAATTTGAACCTACCAATTGCTCCACAGAAGAAAGATGAGGCAGTCTGCTTTCATAAAGCTTATGGCCTTGGAAGCCCTATGGGACAGTTGTGCTCTGTCCTACAGGTCACTCTGAGTTGGAGTGGACCCAACAATAATAGGCTTGGTATTTGGACCAGAAGCCAAGAGAAACAATGAAGGACCCACTATGGGACGAATGTCCTGATTTCAACTCCTAGCCTCCAAATCTGTGAGAAAAAAATTACTGTTTGTTACAGCAGCACTGCATTAACTAAGACACCTATTGGCCCTTCACTCAGAAGGAATCGCTCTACCAGAACTTTCCTAAAAAGAAGTGCTAGGGCCCTCTAACATCCAAATATTGGTCTCCACTCACCCAGAGTATAAGGGGAAGAAAAAAGGCAAAGACTCAGAGAAGAAACTAGTCTAGAGATAGTGAAGAGTCTATATAAACCACGGCCTCCTCTAACTTGCAATCAGAACTAGATGGTATCTGGCTACCACTGCTAGCCATTCTAACCAGGGCCACAGTTGTTGTTGTTGTTGTTATGTGCTGTACAGCTGGTTCCGACTCACAATGACCCTGTACAGGGTTTTCAAGGCTGTAAATGTTTACGGGAGCAGAACGCCTCATCTTTCTCCCACGGAACAGCTGGTAGTTTCGAACTGCTGACCTTGTGGCTCACAGCCCGATTCGTAACCACTACACTACCAGAGCTCCTTAGGGCCACAGTAGACGGGTCCTGATAGAATGGAGGGAAAACGTGGAACAGAACACACCTCTTTAAAAAGTCCAGACTTACTGGATCGGTGGATATTAGAGGACTACCCGAGACTACTGCCCTAAATTACTCTTTAAATTTTGACCTGAATCTATCCCAAGGTCATTTTTTTAGCTAAATGAAAGACTGGCTCATAAAATACATACTCTCACCCCTGAGGACGGCATTCCTTTTTAAAAACCCATCTGTATGAGACCAAGTGGTCAACAGTTACTCTACAGCAAGGAGGAGAAGGTAAGGAGGCAGGGAGACTAGAGTGCTGGAAACAGAACAATTAGCACAGAGACCACGAGAACGCGGACAATGAGAACTGTCACCAAAAACACACAATTTTTTTTTTTTTAATGCAGATGGATAAATTAAAAGTGTAAAGATGTGCTGGGACAGGGCTGAGACTACTCCTAGGGCCAAAATCCACCATGGAGAAGCAGAAAATGATGCAAAGCAGGGCCATAAAAGGATCCCTCTGAGATTTTGGTAGCAGCAACTACATGGAGAGATTAAAGGACATTCCACATAGCAGTGGTCAAAAAACCAAAATGAAACATTTCTAACTTTGCCTTTTGAGTGCTCCCTGCTATCCTATATGAGTCTCTAGAACCCATGACTGAGCCCTCGGTTATTTCAGAGCTGAGTGTGTCAGCAAAGCTCCAGTGTCACTGTTGCTGTTGTTATCAAACATGTGACAAGAGAGCCCACAAACCCTCTTCCTCTCAGCATCACTTGATCTGATGGGATACCTAAACCTGCTACAGCCAATCCCACAACCAGGACAGAGCCGAGACACAGAGGATGGCAGCGAGAAGGGCGGAAATGCCAACCCTCGGAGATGCCAACAACTAAGTGGAACTGAATGCTGACAGACTTCTATTAGCAAACCCAACCCAACCCACTGCCGTGCATGTGTCGGTGCCGATTCATAATGACCCTGTATGGGGCTTCCAAGACTGTAAATCTCTACAGGAGCTGCAGCCTTATCTTTCTCCCTCGGAGCCGATGACCTTGCTGTTAGCAGCCCAATGCCTAACCCACTTTGCCACCTGGGTTTCTTAAACTCCTCTTTGGTGATGGTGATGGTGCCATGGAATTGGTTCCAACTCACAGTGACCCTGTATAGGGTTTACGAGGCTGTCAGTCTTTACGGGAGCAGAAAGTGTTATATTTCTCCTGAGGCAAGGCTGGTAGACTCGAACTGCTGCTCTTGCAGTTTGTAACCTAACATGTAAGCCACTACACTACCAGGGCCCTTTAATCTCATCTGTTGTTGTTGCAAAGTGTTGTCGAGTTGGATCCGACCCATAGTGACCCTATACAGGGTTTCCGAAGAGCAACCTTGCAGTTCAAACGGCTTTGCAGTCTGGTGCATTACCCCACAGCGCCACACCAGGAGTCTTTAAACTCATTAAGTGAAACAAAATACTTCCCTTATTCAGTCAGAGGTTCCGAGTGTGGCCCCAGCACCACTGAGAACTTGTCAGAAATGCACATTCTCAAGTCCTGCCCCAGATTTCCTGAGTCAAAAGTTCTGAGGCTGGGACCAATAATCAGTGTTCTAACCAGCTCCCTGGTGACTCAGAGGCACACGAAGGGTTGAGAGCTGCTAGTTTAAGCTAAGTTCCCTGACTGGCACAGTTTATGCTCGGCTGGTGTCGCGCTGCAGGATATTGTGCTGGGCCGCAAGGTCAGTGGTTCAAACTCACGAGCTGCTCCACAGAAACCCTATACAGGATCAACAGCACCTAGCAACAAGAAGTAACAGAAAAGTTGGCGGTTTGAACCCCCCCCCCCATAGCAGTTCTGAGGAAGAAAGGCCTGGCAATGTGGTTCCATCAAGATTAAAACCAAGCAAACCCTATGAAACAGTTCTACTCTATAACACATGTATCACCAGGAGTCAGAATTCACTCAATGACACAGGACAACAACAGGAGGTTTAAGTTAAAATGAGTCTGGGTTTTTCTACAACTTGCAGTTGAAACCACCTTCACTGATTCGAGCTTTCTTTTCTTCAATTGTGTGGGTTGGAAAACACAATTCAAATAAATGATGGAAATACAGAGCTAGCATGAGAAAGGATGTGCCAAACACACATGTACAAAGAATGTGCAGAGCACAGAAATCCTCAGACAGGCAGAAGGAAGCAGACATGGAACTGAGCAAAACCTTGTCAGTACACAGTGAGATCTGTAGGAAAGATGTGCTGTGTTCTGGTACCTTCTACAGGCCCAGTGCGACCTCAGGAAGCAAACACCGCCCACACACACCCCAGCCAAGAAGGTAAGGGGATCCTCTGCTACTTATTCCTGCTTCCTCCAAAAGAAGCCTTCCCTGGCTCAGCTTCCAAGCTTCCCCACTCCCTCTTGGTTTCACTAACCTTCGAGGCCCCTCTCCATCTGCAGTGAGCTGCCAAAACAGGAAGAACAACCAGCTTCCAGAGTCCATTTGGGAACTTGGACCTTGTAATGTATTTCCCCCCGGACTAATGCTGTTCTTGCCAGAAAGACCCTTACAATGAATTTAACCCACACTGTGCCTAAAGTATGGTATGACAGAGACGCCATTTCACTGCTCTCTGACTAGATGTAAGCATTTAAATGTCCAGTTTCAGCCTCCAAGCCCAGAGTATAACAACATGGGGGCCATAGATACTTCACAAAAGAGTCAGACAGGTGGGGTTCTGTTATAGAACCAAGCGCTCTGTCTGAAGATATCTTTCTCTACATTACTAAAATGCTTGGCAGCAGTTCTATATTTTAAACTGGGTGTCAATACCAGACAGACAGAGTCTGTAAGTTTTCAAGTCCTAGAGAAGATCGATGAGGCTCCAGGCTCAACTTCACATTCTTCTGTGTGGCAGAGATTGTCTCCAAAGATGGCCGCCATCAATTCCTTCCCTCAGGTAGGCCCATCAAGAGGTGGAAAACATGTATTCCCACTCCCCTTGAATCTAGGCTGGAAGTGTCGCTTTGTTTGAGCAAGAGAATGAGGAGGAAATGATGATCTGAGACCTCTCAGTAAGACTGGCAGCTTCTGTTTCCTCTTCCTTGCTATAAGGATGTCCAAGCTATACTACTGCATATAGGGAGAGAGACCTGGAGGGTGAGAGGCCATCTTGGATTTTCCAGTCCAGTCGGGTCACCAACTGAACACAGCAGAATAAACGACTCAAGCCAATGTCAAGTGGAGCCAAAGAACTGCTCTGCTGAACCCAGACAGAATTCCTGATCCACAGAGTCACCTGACCCCGGCCCTGGGACAATGGCACATGAGTGTATGTCTGTGTGTGCCTATGTGTGTGCAGATGGAGGCCTCGGGAGAATGTGAATTCTTTCTCTTGACAAACGCTGTTTGAATCACTGTTGTTTTCAACCACGAAGATTTGGGGTGCGTGTCATTCAGTAACAGATAAATGAAATACTCGGAGCCCCAAAGAAATCTTAACGACACCAAGAAATAAGAATAGGGTATAACCAATGCTTATAAAGCTTGCATTCTGTTGGTTTCCTATGCAGAGACTCTGTCAGAAGGACTCTTAATAAACGGAGCCTTAGAGCCTCGGATGGGCACTTGGAGGAGATGAGAGCAAGGACGGGTGGCTCCTGATGCCTCCCACTAAGGAAGGAAGTGGAGGGCCACACTCCCTGGGGAGGCCTTGGCCACCAATGAGTACACGGCTCTTCCAGAGCTAAGCTGTGCCTCTGTGTGCTCTGTCAGAGTGTGAATGACAACAGGTACTTATCACAGTAGGCAGGGCTCTCGTTGGCTTTTGTGTGACAAATATCAGCATGGAACCAACAGAAATGAGTGCTTATGCCCACCAAAGACACGCACAAGAATGTTCACAGGAGCGTTTCAGCCCTCAACTAGAAACCAGCCACCTCCTCCTCAGCAGGAGAATGCATAAACACACTGCAGTCTGCCCAGACAGGAAGGAGTCCCGTAGCATAGTACGTTATAGCTTGTTGGGCTGCTAACCACAAGGTCAGCAGTTTGAGTTCACCAGGCGCTCTGAGGGTGAAAGATGAGGCTTTTTGTTCCCATAAAGATTTACAGTCTCAGAAACCCTGTACAGGATCGCTATGAGTCCGAATCGACATCATGGCAGATAGCCAGCCATACCCACACAGGAGAATTCTTCTTAGCAATGAAAACCCAAAAAATGATTGCTACAGGCAACAAGATGGACAAATCTCAAAAACATTTTCCTGAGTGAGAGCAGCCAGACCCAAAGAGTCCCTACCGTGCAACTGCATTTACATCCAGGACCAGCAAACTGAATCTGCAATGATAAGAGGTCCTAAGTGTAGGAACCTTGGTGGGCAAGGTACTGGGAGAAGGGCCACAAGGAACTTTTTGGGATGTGGAAAACGTTCTCCATCTTGATTCGATGGTAGTTATGGGTAAATGCAAATATACCCACATACTCCATCATTGCCACCGCACACTTGAGATTTGTACCCCATATACTTCTCAAAAAAAGCTAAAAGACAAAAAGTAGCCAAGACTTGCAATAGGGCCTCCTGGGGAGAAGGGAATAAAAATGGGTCAGCTTAGACAGGCTTAACTCTTTCCAATGCAAAGAAAGTCACAGGGTCATTTCCTCTGACTAGTACATTAAAAAAATCCTTAAAGGCCAGTAGCCAATGGTGAAAACTGGATCCCTAAGATAGGATAAGAATGCTGTATTCATTGACCTCACAATCCCATTACTTTAAGTAGGCCAAGAAAGAAACGTTCCCACAAAAGTGATAAAGATAATGAGGCCTGAGAAGACCTCAGATTAGACCACGTTTCACAGACTCCCGTTGACCTGGAGATGAGAGAGAAAAGAGGAAGGGCTGGTTAGTCCAAAGTGTGGTGTGACCTGAGGACTCCTGAGCCCATGCACAAGGACATACCCACAGAGGGCTAGAATTGAGAATGAAGCATCCAGCAGATGTGAAGTAAAGGGAGACGCACAAGAACACACAAACTTGTGATAGTACTCCTTTGACCTAGCTTTGATGGCTTGATGATCAGAACTCGACTAGAGGTAGATAATAAAAAAAAAAATTTTTTTTGATAAAGGAAACAAGTGTAAATTGCTACAATTGGATGAACTTGACCAATACTTATGGATGTAGTAGCTCAAAATATCAACTGAGAGAGGGAAGGAGTCTTCACATCAAGTATCAATCCTATCTCCTCTGTACAAAAGTTGACAGGGATGGGCAACTTAGACACTGGCTATCTAAAATGGGTTGTTGTTAAGTGTCATCGAGTCGATTCTGACCCATAGTGACCCTGGTACTATGGGTTTCCAAGGAGCAGCTAGTGAGCTTGAACCACTGACCTTGCAGTTCAAATGACTTTGCAGTCTGACGCATTAGCCCACAGCGCCACAAATGGGTTGCGGGGGGCGGGGGGTAGGCTAAAAAAGAACAAAGTGACTGGCTTACAAGTTTTCAAGAGGGAGTTTAGTTTCAGAGTGTGCGGGGGAAGGTAGAGTCCCCACCGAATAATTTTCATCTTGTCTAGACGGATATGGTGAAAGGATGATGGAAATAATATACTTATGATTTAATAGTGAATAATTGTTATCATGACTACTTGCGATTGTCACAATTGTAAAAGTAGAAGTTTTGTAACAAAAAAAATGGGGAGTAGTTAATCTTACATTCCAGGAACGCGGACCCTAGGACTACCAAGGGAGAAGAGCATGAGCAGAATGCGGGACCTTATTCAGAGAAGCAGCAACACCTGAGATGGAGGCAGAGATGGGGACATGGAGAGGGAGCAGATGAGGACTCTAGATTCATGGAAAGAGAGGGATTGAGAACTGGCAGCCAGGAGGCAGTCTTGCAGAATGTGCCCTTCGGTTATTTAAATGTTTACATATTCCTAAGTGTTTTTATGTACATCTCCACAAAAAACAAGGAATAGAAGCAAATACCGCTGAATGAAGATGCACGGAGATTGTAATCATGCAATGAAACGATGAGTGTAAAACCCATGTTCTCCCATGTAAACTGTCACCCAGTTCACAATTACAAACTTATAAAAAATAAAAAGAAGACCTCAGAGAGCCAGAGGTGAGGTGGAAATAGAATGTATAAAACCTCAGAATTAAACAGCAGGCACCCCAAACTCATCTTAGGAACAGGTTGAGCCAGGCAGGACATGGGGGTGAGGGAGAGGACAACTGTGTTCTTGAGTTTCTGTGCTTAAGCTCAAGGGAGCTGAGACTTCTGCAGTGAAAACAAGCTCCATTTGGCACCTCCCCTGGGATGCCACAAGGATTAGAGATCAGAGGCCAGTGTGATGTGAAAAGCCCAAGGGGGGTGGAGGGAAGGAACACGGTCAGCAATAAGACATTGTACAGTGTGGATGGTTCGGGACACCAGCACAAGTGAAGACCAACAATGGGGCTCTATCAGCAAGTGAGTTGTAGGCACAGGGCTTGTCTTTTCATAACACCGCTATGATCACAAACACTGTTCTCAACTGTGTATTTCCTAAAATCTGAATATATCTCCCTCCCACCCAGCAACTATCTCATTCAGCTGACCCTACTCACCATATCCATGATGAGATGTCCACAAAGAACACACCTGTCAGCAGACTGCTGGAAACCAGAGTACTGCAGAGAAAAGAGAGAAGAATGTTAAATCCAGCCAAGAGGATAACAAGGCATTTCACTCTGTGTGGGAATCTGCCATTTCTCTGAGAACAACACAGAGTTTAGGATGCCCTCTCCCTAACCCAAAAGCCATTAAATTACACCTATGAATAGCACTCACCACACAAAGACTCTGGGTCCCACCTCATGCCAGATCTATGTAAGGGACTTGAATCTCAAAGCTGGTGTTTCTCAAAGAGATTTCCTAGCATCACCTGGAAACTTGTAAGAAATGCAAAATCTGCTCCCCTCACTCACCCAATATAGCTCTCTTGATTTGGAAACTCCAAGGGTGGGGCCTGGCAAGCATTGTTTACACAGTCCTGTAGGAGATTCTGATGCACACATAGGTTTGAGGAGCACTGCTCTAATCCTTAAAACAATTCTGCACAGAAACTATTACTATTCTCTTTTTCCAAATGGAGGCTCAGTGAGGTAAAGTGACCTTCTCAAGGTCACACAGCTTATAAACAAGTATGGTTCTGATTCGAAAGTCAATTTCTTTTAGTTTGCTCCAAATAAACTTGCTAAATTCTGTCTACATTGCCTTACACCAAAATACACACACACACACACACAAACAATTGGAGCTTCAAAAGAAATGAGGGATTTTCTTCAGAAAACATCCTGGAAGTTACTAGAAGCTTGTTGTTGCTGTTGTTTGCTATCAATTCAAATTTTCCCCTAAAGTTTATTTTGTTGTTGTTGTTGTTGTTGTTGAGAATATAAATAGCAAAACATACAACTCAACAGTTTCTACATGTACATTTCATTGACACTGATTGCATTCCAATCAGTTGGCCAGGTTACTGTCTTCCAAATTTCTTGTCATAGATGAGTGGGTGACTCCAGTGCCACATCAGTTTGTTGAAAAACTTCAATTTGCATGGATGAACCTTGAGGACATGCTGAGTGAAATTAGTCAGTCACAAAAAGAGAAATACTGCATAGGACCACTACTGTAAAAGACTAAGAAAAAGAAATTATACTAAAGGGGGGTCGGGGGAAGTCTTTGTTGGTTGTTGGGA